TTTTCCCCTTGGAAGTCTGTTTTAATTGTCCCATTGCCAAGTGCTTGTCAAAACCAGTTCCGATTAATCTCCTTTGTCAGTGTGTCCTTTGCAATTCCCTATCACTCCTCGCTGAGAGAGATTTCACCTTGATTCATAAGGAAAAGGGGACAGTGTATTCTCTTAGCTACTTCCTGGCAACAGGTTAATCTTAAGGTGCTAGCATCATAGTCAAGTGTGCATATGGGGCTGGAACCTGGGAAAGATTATATTCTGTCTCTCAGAAGGGCCAGACACAGAACACAGGATGAAAAGGTTAGAGAAGAGAAGAGACAGAGGGCAGAGTTGTACATTAGTTAGTAATGAGTAAAGTCAGGTCCTGCTGGGTTTGCGTTTTAAGGAGTAAATTTCAGGACAGAAAGATCCTGCAGGGGTGGAGAAATGTCAAGGTAGCAAGCGTTGCTGTGCCAGCAAGGCAGTCGTTTTGCCATTCAGCTGCTAACAGCTCAAATTCAAGGAAAGCAGGTCTTACATTTCATTTACTGCAGGGCAAATATAAGCAAATAAATGAACTCTGGAAATAGGTATATCTACATAGGACCTTTGAGGAAATGAACTCATATTGGAGGCATTTATACTAACCATTATACTGAGAGTTGGCATTAAAGAAAAGCTTGGCAAGCTGCTTCCTTAGGTAAAGACTATGGCCAGGAAAGCCTATGGAGGAGGTCCGTTCTATAACAAAACACACGGGTCATCAGGAGTCGGAATCAGCTAGACAACAGATGGATATTTTTGGTTTGTCACTGACAGTGGCAGTGATGGTTGAGGGAGGTCAGGTGTGACCAGAGTGTATGCAAACAGGTAAAGATAAAATTTAAAATGTGAACCTTGTATAGAAAGGACAAGATAGTAATGCATATAAAAAACAAAAACAAAATAAAGCAAGCAAACCAACCTGGAAAAGACCTCAATGCCCATAAGCAAATGTGACTGTGTAAATAATAGCATAAACAAATATTTATCACAGTTATAAATTAATTTTAGAATTGAAAGGATAGGCAGCATATAGGGGAATATGGAAACATATTCTAGAAAACAATGAAGAGGTGGAGAAATTGAGTAATCAGTATCACAGTGAAATGTAAGTTATATTTTAACTGTGTATGCACATGTGCACTTGCAAAGAAAATGGACAGTGAATTTTAGCAATGTTTGTTTTTGCAAGACCAATACTAGCATTAAGGAAGGCTCATGCTTTTTCAATATTGTTTCTTTCTTAAAATAATGTATTTCTAACAAGGAACTCATGCAATATTATTCAAAATGGGTGA